CTTTTGCGATCTGCCTAAACTCTTGCTTTGCCTTTTTGGAACATCAATTTCTTCCTCATCAGAGCTGGTCACAAAACGTGACGACAAATTTTGCGATTTACTTATATTCCTGCTTTGCCTTTTAGTAATATCATTTTTATCTAGTGCCTCTTCATTTGGTATAGCCGAAGTGGACCGCTTTTGCGATCTATCTAAACCTTCGCTTTCTCTTCCCGAAACATTTTGAACTTGACCTTGTTGATTCTCATCTGTGGTAGGCGAGGCCGATTTATTTTGCAAACTAGCGAAATGTTTGCTACGTTTCTTTAACGTGGATTCATCTTTTTCTGATTCCAAGTCGGTCGTACCACGTTGTTTTTGATTCTCTAATCTAGTCCAAGTTCCAGATTGTGTTTTCGTAATGTACTCATCATCCTGACTCGAATCATTTGGAATTTTAGCAGGTGATCGTGTACGCGTGTTATCTGTTATGCTTTTATCGACTTCTGGTACATATTCTTTTTCATTTTGTGAAACTGATTTCCGAATTGAGCTCTCGTTACAATGGATTCCACTGTTAGCATTTGTATTATTCTGACTTGTATGTTTCTCTTTGGACTGTTCAATAAGACTAACAGCGGAGTCAATCGATTGCTCCTCTTCACTGTTACCGCTGCGAGAAGTAGTTGCAGTTTCTGGAGCAAGCATTTTCGATACGTTTGAATTTATTTTATTACTAGAGTTTATAGTATCATTATTATCTACATTCAATGGCCCTGAGTATTTTAGTAGTACATTTTCCATACTGTTTCTGCTGCTCTCATCGCTGACTAATTGGCGCTCTCTTATCTCTTTGGAGTTCTCATTTACCAAATTTCTTTCCCTTGAATGATTAACGGAAGCTTTTGATCTCGATGTCTCGTGTATAATACTGTCATCACTTTCCTGGAGAATATCTAGAAATAGATTACGTTTTCGATTTTCGCGTAATCTATTCAAAAATACTGATTTCTTTTTTGGTGGATCGTCACGTTGGCTTGTATTCGAGGAATCACTGGAGTCAACGGAAGTTATATTTCTTGATACAGGTTGCAAGAATTCGACTGGATTATCCGCTGCTGATGCCGAAGGTCTCTTGAAAGTTTTTGTCTCTGCTGCAATACTCTTCCTCGTTGACTCATCTGTTTCATTTTCATTTACAATTTTATTATGTCGGTTTAGAAACTTTGATTTTGGTTTTAATACAGTAGTTTCCGCATCGCTGGCAGTACTGTCCTTATTGTTATCGCGCGTATACGCGAAATTATTGTTTACTACTGTGGATTGCGAACTTGATGCAGAACAATAATTTTTATTTTCAGGAGATACAGTACGATGATTGTGCTGTGTGCTATTAACAACGAGGGTTGAAGCTGTAGCAGGCGGATTATCATTTGTTGAAGTTAGCAACTCTTTAGTCAAAGATATTCTCAAAGACTGTTTCTTCAATGGACTTTCTAACTCATCTGTGTTTAAAATGTCATCAAATACATTTGTATTCTGATCCTTGTATTTTTTACCAAAAATTCTAGGCCTCACTTTTACAATGCTTGTGGTTAAACTATGATTCCGACTACTTCCTTGGGAGTTATTTAATTGTTCAGCATTACTAAGAGTCTTTTCCACTGACACCGAACTATGTATAGAGCTGTCTCTCATAGATTCTTGCCTGGGTTCTGGCAAAATTGCAGTTTCAAAATTATTCAAAACGTCTGAAAATGCGTTATCTCGAGAATTCATTGCCTTTGACTGTAACGTACATTTTCTTTTCACAATTCTAGGTTCCCCTTCGGACTCTGATGTTGATGCTGTATCAGTTCTACCTAAAAATGATATAAGTAATATAAAATAAAATGAAATTTATCTTGTAGCAAGAGCCTAGTGTTAATACTGTACCTTCTTTAGAATAATCCTTAGTAGCCATAGGGGTCTTGGAATTATTTAATGATTCCAGAATGTCCCACCATCTATCTTCGACTGTGTTGGGTTCTATGCTTGAATCAGAATACAAATAACGACCCGTTTGATTCAAAGTATCGGAACCCATAGATGGTCGCACTGTTGTATTATCTAAACCTTGCCACCAATACGGATACTCTGAAAAATAATGCAATGAGTTAGTCAACAACGTAAGTACTTAACCTACAAAACGTTATGAGATATGTACACGTACCCTCGTCTAAAATGCCCGTATTAGGATCCAGAATCGCGGAACCAACGCTCAATCTGCTATATCTGGATGGACGTCTATTTAAACTTTTTCGTTGGGCCATAGCTAAACTTATTCGAAAAATGTTACTCTCCGAATTGCTCCGAATCACTAGGTAAATAAAAAAATACGTTACTACATGTTGGTAAAATCTTCTTCGCACATGCCACCAGAGGGCCAAACGTCATAACGCAGAATAATAAATAATAAATTTATTGAAAAATGAAGTTCCTAGACTCCTCTAAGATCGGTTGTAAAATTGATGGCTGTAAAATAACATCCTTTTCGATTACTTTAACGTATATTTAATTTTTTTTATATAAAAATACAGTTTAGGTTTTTAATAATAACGAGAGTGCACTCTGTTAGTAATCGTCAATTAGATTAACTTCATGCCTGGTAAATAAATTATGATTTTATTTAACACATCGCATCTTACACACCGCTGTTTCGAAAAAATTCATTCATTTATCGAATATCACGATCGTTCGTATTTATTTTATGCTATCGAAGGAAATCTTTTATACACGGTAGCGATTCCTTTGAACATTATATCTATATCTCTCTATATATATATATATATATTACGTAGCTTAGAAATTAGTAGGATAACTCTTTCCCAGTATATAATGTGTATAATATATATAAAACATTTTATACAATATCTCGGTAATTCTCCATTTACGAGTGCCATTGTTATCTACAGTTGACATGAAAATGAAATATGTAATGAGAAACTCGTTGAATAAGATCTATTTTAAAAATAATGTTACAGTTGTGGAAGATGCCGCAAATACTAACTTTACTTATGTCTCAACGTAAAGAATGTATCCCAAATCTTATTTATGATGTATACATGAATGAAAACAAAACATTTAATCAGCCTTGGATTAATTTCTTGACTCGATAATATCTCTACTTTGCTTTCGCAGAAGAACGAGATCTGAGATTCTTTTTAGTCGCCTGATCGACTTCTGGCAAATCATCGTCTTCGGAGACAACGGATTTCTTCCCTGGAAGGATATAAATTTAATATTTCGAGATGCTGATCCTGTATATAAAGAAACAAGAGAATTTTTTAAATTTCTCTCACCTTCCTTCTTCTTCGGTTTTTGCTTTGTTTTCACGGTTACTTGTACGGGAGCTGAGTTCTCGCGAGCGCGCTTCATTTGTCTCGCGATAAACACATAAGAGAGATACGCTTGGAAGACAACGATAATACTTAAAGCTGAGAATCGTACAGCTGGAATATTATAGTTCCCAGCAGCATAATCGAACGAACTTTCCAATTGGTTCAAGCCATACAGAAACACCAAAGTTGCAATGGCGAATGTTGCAACACGTACGGAAACGTACACTGTGTTCGCGACAAGAAATGCCACTGAAATAAAATAATTTCACGATATTATTTTGGGTCGACTCTGGTATAAAATAGGATTACAATAAAATAATACTTACTTTTCGTTAGCTTTTCCTTCTTACTAACAAAATGACCAATTCTGGCTCCGTGAAGCACAGCATCTCCTAGGTAATGCAAAACTAACAGCAAGACTCCTACCTGCTGGAAGCTGTTGAAAATATGTACATTTTCAAAGACTGTAACGAGTTATAGTACGAGTATAGTACGAGTTAAATAAAATTTGATATCATACTTAAAGACATATGCTGCAAGTGTAAATAACAATCCAATGGTAGCTTGAACAACGCGAGATGGAATATCTTCCTTCTTTATCCTCTGGAAGTACAATTCAGGGTAGCAGTGCAGCCAGTAAGCAAGCTGGCCGATAAAGAAGAATTTTGAAAAGAAGGTCATCGGCACAGGATAGTCTTTCCACAATGAAGTTATATTTAATAGCATTTCTTCTCTAGAAGGATACAAGTTTGTATTAAATCTAATAGATAAGAAGGATTATTTATCTCTTACCTGATAATTATGTCCAATCCCCATATAGCGAATACAGCATAGAACAGAACATGTTGACTAGATTCGTTAAACTTGGCAAGCTTTACTTTACTGAGGTGAAGACGTTTTGAAATTTTCTGAAAGAGACATACACCAATTAATTATGTGCAAACATTTTGAAGAGGAATTAGTTGTAGCAGATATGACTTACATCAAAGATATATTCTTGAAACACGGCGTGGATTACAATTGTTATCAAAAAATAAAAGAATACAGCACATGCATCTGTCCATCCGATGGTATATCTCACTGGCAAGGTTGGATTCTCCGCATCTGAAGTTACATTGTGATGAATGGCAATGAACATGTACGCCCATGGTGATGTTGCCTAAAATGTGTGATAAACAATATTAATAAAAAGAAAAAACTAAATACATATCACAGAATATATTATGAAGATAGAAAAATAAGTTATGCGACATGCTTAAGTATTAATAAAATATCAGAAATCAGATACAGTCTTATCTAAATCTAATTTATCGTGTATAATTCGATCAATCGTTCAGCACCGGCAATAACGAGTAACATATGGTTATTCTGTCGACGGCAAATAAAATGAATAAAATGTATTAAACGTTCGTCGAATGAATGTAGATTACACTCGTTCGACTATGCTAAACGAAAGGGAGAACAGCACGAAGAAAACAGACGCATGAGGTAAAAATGTTATCGACGTTTGAAAAATGAGACACTGACCTGCACCATTAGACCAGTCACGAAGATCATAGCCACGCACGAAACGATATCTCCATGATTTTGAATGACAAACTCATGGCTGAATATAGGAGGATTTTTATTTGAACCTTTGCGGCCCTTTATCGCAACCATTTTTACAAGAAAACCACCGTTTCCTTGGACACACGATGGTCAATCACCTGCAAGAACTGTCTTAGTCAACAGACCAACAGACTTTGAGTGACTACTGGACTGGTAGTGGCATTCACGCTACAACTCACGATCCAATTACACTGACAGAACACATACCAAAGCAACGGGTGAAGTGACTGGCCAACGTTGCACTATGTGGCGCTTTCTGTCTTTACTTGTGTCACCAAGTAAATCAATACAACAACGAAAATTTTTCGCCAAATTACGAATATCGTAGGTTTATTCTATCTGTATATTATCGATTAAAAGAATCACTTTTTACGCTGGGATATTAATCATTTTAATGCGTGAAATCTCGAGCGTAGATTTATACGGATACTGTGTTGTTTTCAAGCGCGACAGGAATTGCAGCGTGGAGGTGTCTGGTACCATTCGAAATTGCTGACTTCTGTACTTATAAATTTCGAACTTGTCGCAAATAAAACAGCTCTAAATCGCACTGAAAGAAGGGGGGAACGTTTTATAAGATACACTTTATTGAGAGTGTTAGGTACATTTTTTAGTGATCACGATATACTAATACGCATTTATGCATTTGTTTCTAAAATTGTGCAATCGTCACTATTAATTCCGTGAAATGTTGAACTATCGACGAGTAAATATAATATAATACGCGACAGTAAAGTGAAAATATACATATTCAACAATTCGATGTCGGGAGAAAATAATTTCTGTATGCTACTTATTCTGCCAGAGATAAACTGTAAATTCATTGATCAACAATGATTCGAAAATATACATCTGTAATCGCAAAAATAATATATATTCTTTCAACTTTTATATCTTTATTACGCTATTGGTTTAACCGTTAAAGGTATATGATATTAACGCCTGTGTAGTTTTGTACAATGTTGCTCATTGCATCAACGTGATTAAGTGATGGAGCACTCGATGTTTAGGTGAACATGACATACGACAAAAGTTCAAATTTACACGCGGAGGTGCGCAAAATACATTGTATATACTCTAGCTTTATTATTTATTAGTTAACGAATGACACACGTAACAGTCACTCTTTATTTCAACATCGTTATTTTTACCTACGTTTCGTATTACGATTTCGTTCAATTTTTCAAGTAGAGATTTAATCAGATGGTCTGCGAGTTCACCATCGACCTCCACTTTAACAGATTCGGTTTAAGTACAATTCAAGTTTCATTCATCGTCATTGCGTAATTAGGCCAGAATAAGTTTCTGTTTTCACAGTCGACGATGCGGAAAGATGACCTTCGGAAGTTTTATAGTTCCTTCGATGATATTTTCGCGAATGCTTAAAGATTTCATTACAATAGCCTTCGCTTATGTATACGTTTCTCAACATCTACTGTCTTTATATTTTTCTAAACATTCGCATCTGTAGCAACAACTTTAAACAAGCAATTTGCGCAATCTGTCTTTAAATACGTGTACATTTTCTTTTTTTCGTTAACCTAGTTTTGGATTCAATGACAAGTTATATATTACTATATTTTAAGTGCAATGGTCTCGAATGTACCTGGAAAAAGTTGACTTCTCGCTTTAAATAAACATTTTTATCGACTATCATTAGTTATGGAACTTTCGTAATACAAGTTCTCGCGTGTTTATTGTTAATCGACACTCGGCTCAATTGTACACGAAACGTATACATCCATTGTTAGTCGTTAGAAAATGTTTCCGTGTGTTTTAAAATCGGCAAATTTCTATCAACAATTATCTCTTATCGATGATATTAGGTAAGTTCACGAACACGAATGAATTCGTAAAAGGTCACGTTAGTACTATAAACGTCGTGAGCTTGGTTCTAGAATTTCTTTAGAAATTGTAAAATCTATAATACACTCAGGAAACAATTACGAAGTTTTAATATTCGTACGGACATCGCCGAGATAAATATATATGTGAAATACACGAGTACAATAATAACACGAATTAAATCTAAATACTCTTGTGGTCACAAGCCTTAAACCTTAGCAACATCTTTTAACGTTACACGCAACCAGTACGACTCAGGTTTTTGGTTTGCCTTAAGTGTCGACCGACGTTGCAAATTATGTTTTGAGGTAGACAAGTATATTCTTCAAATAGCTTTTCATAGCTATCGGTAAAGCTAAACCAAAGGGTAAAAGTTCTCATCAAAGGAAAAATGCCACGTTAAGTTTAATTTTATGTAGCGTGAATTCGCGCCCCATGAAACCTGTTAATTCGACTCGCTTGATTCATGGATGCAACTGAAAGTTTAACGACGAGTAGCACGATGCGTTCTAAAAGCATTTGTTATCCTAATCCAACTCTGTCAAAGTTATGTGAACAAATGTCATTCGCACGATTGCAACATGAAATTACTCTGACCGATGTCAACATTCTATGTAGATGAGTGTAACAAACGTGATGTCGAGTGATGTTAAGAGTAATCGTTAATATTCGGTACACATTAAAACTGGAATCAGTTGTCGTCATCAGTTGTCTTTATCTTTATCGTCACATTCAACTGTGGTTACGTTTTGTGACTATTTTTTTCTTTTTTCTTTCTTTTTAATTGTATTGTACCATTTGAAGATTATGTACTATATTAATTTTATAACTTCATTTCCCTTAATTTCGAGACATGATCAATGACAATAAATATTTAACACTGTCCGTTACAACAATATAATCTTTCATCATTATCAATGAAAAATGCCACGTCTAGATTTCCTAACTCGTTTTTATTTTCTTAAACTATGAAGGTATAGCTTACCTCCGCATTTCAGGTACTGTCTTTGTACCTACTTCTCACCTGAGTTTCAACCACGATTCAACATACACGCACACACATCCGCAAACCTCGATATGTTCGAAACAAAACATTAATTCGTATCTTTGATTATGGCAATGATGTGCAATAATTTGCTATTTATTTAGATTATTCACATTTAAAGTTCTCGGCGCGCGTTTTGTTAATAAATAATTAAACATACAGACGGGAGGGTGCGCGTACACATTGCGATTTTGCAACTGTCGATAAAATACTTAACTTACATTAAATCCTGCGGAACATTAGATTCCGCAAATTTAAGTTTAAAATTTGATCTCTCGACTTGTAAATAACAACGGAACAGGATTATCATAATGCCATACAATACTGTAATACTCTTCAATGAAATCTACTTTTTCACCAATAAACAATGTACAGTTTACGGAATATTACGTCACACCACATACCGTGATATGCGATTTGTAGTTTAAACGAGAGGCGGATCATTGTCGAGATCCATTTCTTCGACGGTTATGTAAAGTCCCTCTTCCTCGTACGTGGACTCGTGTTTTGCTAAAACTTTGAGTAATGGTCGGAGTTTCATCCACCACTGGTACGTTGGAATGCGATGCCTAAAATATTAATAAAATATTTTAAAAGGCGCCTAACATGATAGTTTTGAATCTACTTATGAATATAATATACATATTGAACGTATAATATACTCACTCAAAATTAGTGACGTCAATAAGTTCTACGAAGGGTGTAAATCTATACTGTCTTCGCACTATACCGATCATAACTGCAGTGTTGGGTTCCGAAGTTACCGTTTTACCGTCCGCGTCAGTACATTTCTTTAACTGTTCGGTGAACCATTCGACCGCTTTAGAACCCATTTTTGTACCCAAGTTACGGTCGAACGGAGTTGGCGAACCACCTTGTTGCATATGACCTACAAACAATTCGTACAGTGTTATACAGTATCTCTGTCAAGTTATAAAGTATCAACTATTAATTGCTTACCGATAATGTTCATCCTACAACTGAACAGACCCTTCCCTTCTTCGCTGAAGAGTCTCTGCATAAAATCTGTATTGTAATTCAAATTAGCGTTTTCGTTTCTTAGAATGAGACCTCTTTGTACACCTTCGGACATCTTAGCCGCCATCGCGATTACATCCTGATTCAAATCTTTGATATTGAACTTCTCTTCGAAAATATACGCCGCGTCGGCTCCGCCGGCTAATCCGGCTACTGTAGCTAAATAACCGCAGTATCCACCCATAGTTTCGATAATAAATACTCGACGTTTCGTACCCTGCGCCGACTGACGGATTCGATCACAGATCTAAAAATAAACGCGAGGATCAGCGTATTTGAACGTCTCATGATATTTCTTGCGGCATCTCGTTTCAACGTACCTCCGTAATTTCGTTCAAAGCGGTGTCACAGCCTAACGAAAATTCCGTTCCCGGAACATTGTTGCTGATAGTCGCTGGAATCATGGCAATGGGAATTTTAAATTCGTCGAATTTGTCTCTGGCATTGTAGAAGGTAAGACCCGTTTGGTAGCCCTATTAAAATGAAATTAATAAAACTGTTTTAAAACGAACTATTATCAAATGGGTTTCAACGAATGTTACCTCGAATCCTCCTATGATAAGCAAAGCTTGAATTCCAAACTCCTTGAGCTTCTGAGCAATCGCTGGTAGCTGCTCATCTTTAGGTGGTGTACGTTTCGTTCCCAAATAAGCACCACCTTGAGCTACCCACCCGGTAACAGACGGCCAATCCATTAATTTGAACTTCCCAGCCATGAGCCCTAATATTCCATCGCAAATCCCGTATACCTAGAAATACACGCTGTATAGGATTCGTACTACGAGAGCTAAAAGAAGATATTAAATAGCAAAGATACCTTGTCACCGCGATAGATACAATTTCTAACGAAGGAGCGCACCGCTGCATTCATACCACATGAAGGCGATCCTATGTGCATTACACCCAATGTATAGTGATCCTGAAACAGAGTTTCGCAATAATAGGATGGAAGAATATGCCTGCGATACATGCACCGTGCGCATAAAAAAAACGAACACATTCTGTAGTCTGATACATAATGTACAGCATTAATTATTGTACAATGCTTATGCTTGCTTCCATACACCTAGCAAAACACATTGTTACACACACAAAAAAAAAAAGAAAAAATACGTGAAAACACGGTAACAATAAATTGATGATATAGAGATGATTGACTCACTTGTCCACATAGAGTGAATTGCTAGTTTGGAAGAAAAAAGATGACAATGTTAGAAAGACTGTGCTACAAGGCATCGAAGAACGGTATTCAGCAAACAAAATTACACTTATAAATTTTTCGTAACAAATTTACCTTTGTTAATGTAGGGCCATTACTTTCCTGAAGCAACATTAAATTATACATGTAATAATGGTAATTCTCCACCTCCGTACATTTGTTAACCGTTAGAACTAAAAACCTTCGGAAAGTTTTCATCTTTCACCGGATATTTATTAAAATCAACATTCAATTGATCTGATACAAAATAAATAAATAAATAAATAATAAAATGCAGTTCGTTTAGTTTTTTTTTGTATTTTTATAATCGTTCGTTAAAAGTTTCGACGGAAGGTTTCGAGTTCGTAGTAATTTTAGTGGTAAGTGTGCTACGATAACGTACCTTGTGCGGATCGTGATCTACAGGTGCTTTTAGACGAGTCAACATTTTATACGTCTCCAGATTTCGAGCGAATCCTCTACAAATATTTTAAACGATATACGGTGCAATTCATAAACTTGAAATAAATGTAACAAAGATTTAGCTTACTTTCCACGAAGTTGAACGGCGAGTTCCCAATTTTTATCGGACATAGCTTGTGCCACTGCTTTCGTACGACGGACACACTCCATGAGCGGTAACCTGACAGCTTGATTTCCGTCCAATGTAACGACGCAAGCTTCAGTTTCCGGTGTCGCTTCCATCAAAGCCATCACGGCTTCTGCACCCATTCGGCACCCCTATGCAACATTATTAGGTTTATTCAATAATAATGTTCTGTGCTTCAATTGATCAGAATTGAAGCTGGAGTCAATATAAACAAGAAGTTATACTTCGCACTAACCAGAACTCTGTCGAAAGCAGATGGATTACCACCTCGTTGAACGTGACCAAGAACGGTAATTCTGGTGTCTTGCTGCAGTTTATCGACAACGACTTTATGAACTTTTTCGGCAGTGATTGGTTCGCCATTCCTGTCTACGGCTCCCTCCGCTACGATAATAATATTAAGCCGCTGTCCAGTAAGACGTTCCTGAAAAATAGATTATCCAATCTGAAAATCTGTACGCAAGCATCGAGAGATGAATTGTGTTAACAGTTAAAAGCACAAAGGCAATCCGCAGAATAACCTGAGCTAAAGGGGAAAGAATTTTAGATTTAATGCACCTATTAAGTGAGCATCAAATAAAATAATATCATTACACACAGGACTAATAGACAAAATATCGCTACACGAAAAATCTGTTATCGTTTGTTAAGTTCAAATGTATAACGTGCATCCGAAGTGTAGAGTATATAAAATGAAAAAGTAAAGCACAATACATAGAATAAGCTTACCATGATAAATAGACTGTACTAAAATTATCAAATAATATCTGTGTGCATCTGTCCCTAACTAGAAATGGATAAAGTATAAGTTTGAGAAAAGAATTATGGCTCTGCTTGTAACGTAGGTATACAATGAGGTGTACAGCTAATTTTGTTTAACCGTTTAAAAAATAACAAAAAAAAAAAGATGCGAACCTGCAGCAATTTTTTGCACAGCTTGCTTGGCCAATCCTGTTCAGGTGGCCACTCTGGGATGAACACAAAATCAGCTTCGCAACATATGGCTGCCACTAGAGCCAGGTAACTGTAATAGTATGTTATGAAAGCTAGCTATAAATATTATGATAATATGAGAAAATCAATAACTATAGTATATTAAGGAATTAATGGTTTTTAGATAAGGTCGATCAAAAATATAAAAATAGTTGGAAACTTCGAAAAGTTTCAACTTTGTACGATGTTCTCTTAGTATCTATAAACAACTATTACACGGAAAATTTTAATGTATCTGGTCGGTAATTAGCGTACTTTTATTTCTCTCTGCGTTATCTAGCTACATTGATGATGAATTAGCACGCGTTCAATGTAGATAATAGTGAATTTGATGGGATGTAATAATGTCTGGCCGTGATAACACTTTATCGTAGGTAGGTACGTCTGATTATGGATAATTTAATGATCTATCAAAAACGTGCCTGTTGCACAGCCTCGCAAAGCTCCTCGACCCAATCACCTGTCGGTGGTGCTTCAGGTATAAAGGAATAACATGCTTCTGAAGATAAACTTGAGGCTAACGTCAGATACCTGAAAGGCTCTGCAGCTTTATTATCTTTGCTATGTTAAATTAGTTTGTTTATATAATCGTAAAATTATGAATTAAAAATTGAATTCAGTATGTATTCTCGATCGTTCGATTTTGTGAATAATTAGGGGGGGGGGATAAATGTAACATGAAGTAGCATTTTTCTTCGTGACATTAACAATACAAGTAAGCAATCAAAAGTACACGAAAATAAATGCAAATCAAAAAATTTGTTACATTAAGTTAGTAAAAAGACAACAATGTGACAAAGAATTTTGAAAAATTCCTAATCAACATGCCTGCTCCAACTTTCTACATAGTTTATCAGGCCAGTCAACGGGGGGTGGCGATTCCGGGCAGAAAACATAATCTGCTTCTGCAGCTAAAGCACCCACAATTCCCAGATACCTATCCAAAAGTTCACCAGACTTACAAATACTATAGAACTGAATGTTATTTAATTTATTAAAAGCCATTCAACTGTGTATATCTTTTTGTTGCTGAAATATCAAACCTTTTCGAAACGTAACTAAGATCTCGGTAATACAAATAAATAAATAATATGCACTATGATTTAGGTCCTCTTAATAGGTATGCTTGTTTACGGTATATTCATTTAAACAGTATTAAAATTATTTTCTCGGAAAAAAAAGGTTTTCTAACGTCATATAACAAATAACTTACCCGCAATGACGACCCATAACTTCCATAATAAATGTTCTTTGATGAGAATACGCGGTACTAACGATTGCATCGATGCTTTCGATAATACGGTGCAACGCAGAATCGGTACCAATGGTCATGTCGGTTCCGCAAAAATCATTGTCAATCGATCCCACCATTCCGACAATATGCAAATGAGCAAATTTATCCGCTTGCTCCATAGTTATTTCACCTGACAAGAAAGGAATATAAGATGTCTGTAGCGATAAAAATTGGAGCACCAGTCGCTATATCTTTACCAGCCTGTGCTAATTCCTTTAACAAGTCAGCCCATTCTTCTTTGAAAAGATTGGCGCCGGTAAGGGAACCGTCGCCACCGATTACGACTAAATTTGTTATTCCACGAGTTACTAAATTTTTAGCTGCTTTCCTACGACCAGCGCGTTCTCTGAACTCTAGGCATCGAGCAGAACCTATTACCGTGCCACCCTGAAATGTACATAGAATTAGTATGGGGTCGCGATGACGTAACAATAAGGTATAATTGCATACGTACCCTATGAATGATGCAAGATACAGAGGACCACGTTGCCTCTACAATATTATTTCCGCCATCGACCATACCCTGGTAGCCCTCTTTAATGAAGAAAACTTTGCATCCTAAGTAAATACCCATTCTAACAACTGCTCGGACAGCGGCATTCATTCCTATAAAATGTATTGCAAGAGATGTATAACACAGCATCTGTACTGTTTATATTCTATTTGAGTAGTTCATTTTTTTACCTTGAGAATCTCCTCCACTAGTAAAGACTGCAAGCCCTTTGCCTTTATGACTACCAGGCTTTATAAATCTCTGTGCTCCTAGATCTTCCTCCATCTTGAGACCGTACTCCTTATGCACCTACAATGTAATTATATTTTATCAAATATTTGTTAGATTATATTTACGGATGATCTACAATGAATGTTGTTCACGGCAATGATATTTTATTGTATCGTTACTTTATTTATTTGTATCTTGTGTTCATTTTCAAATTGACCTCCAAAAGTATCCAAGGTCTCGGTACAAAAATCCATGGGAATATTCAATGGAATACCACGTTGACTTAGTGCAAACATCTAATAGAGATCTCTCTGAGCATGTTAACTAATATGCACTATATTCATTCTATGTTTAACTCACTTGCGGAAATGTCATAGACAGTGCCAAATTCTGCTTATGAAGTTTTCTCTTATTAATGTTAATACTTGATTGATTTGCAAGCAATTCATGATTTGAAAGGAATTCCCTACTAGGACTAGTACTTTTTGTTTCAACATTGTCTAAAAATTGTATAGTTTGCATGAATCTACCATAATTCTAATTCTAGTAATCGAGAGCTTATTTATAAACTAAAAATTTTTTAATATGAATTCAAGTTGAACACCAGGGATTGGAGCAATTATTTTATATCTCTACTTTATTAATTACTATGGAAATAGTTGCCGCAATAATTGCATGGTTTAACACATTACTTTTTGTCGAGGTTAAAGTATGAGAGGAATTTTCTTTTTCCAAGTTGTCCTTGGTCGTGCAAGTACACAAAGTGTCATTATAATTTACAGACATGTCTTGAAAAAAATATACGCGATAGAATTTAAATAGAAACTAAAATTAATATGTTGCAAAAGTATTTTTCTATGGCATGAATGCAGCACTTGATGTATTCAAATATGAATTTATCAGCTTCTGTATATTGTGTTTACACTGTGCTTGGGGTTTTTTGCAGTTTCGAATGTTTATGTTCGTAATATGAAAATGAAATGTACATGTGCAGTTTTACTTTAATAGTAACATCTATTGGGAAATTCGATAATGTTGTAATATATGACGTGAGAATCGTACAATTAAATTTATAGATTAACGGTACGTACGTACTAGGCGTCATGAACGAAACGAAAAACAACACCAGAAATTATTTTCTCAAAGGGCATTGCAACACAAAAGTTCCGCGGGCAGTCCTTCGTATTTTAAAATAAAATATCGCGTGTGCAAAGAATCAATGGAATCTGGCACGGTCTCAAAGTGCCGCGCATCAAAACATCAGAACGACAGCGATACACACGGTATAGACTATTTGAATTAGACTTGTCTAACGATAGGGATGAAATTCTGTATGAAAATCACGCGACGCAAAGTGTCGTTCCAATTTACAGAGGAAGCGAATCGATATGGGAACGTCAACGGGATATTTGAATTAACATCGAAGGCTGCGATACGAGAAATCGTCTATTATAGTGTGTATACGAAGTGATGTCACATTGTCACTGACAATCAGTCAGTGTGAATCGTTCGAAAGTTACAGGGAAAAGGTGGACGTTCGTTCGGCTTACCTAACGAAAATATATCCTGTTGCGACGGCGAATTGGAGCGTGGACGATCCTCTCGATATTAAATTCAATCAAGAACTCGCGGTTATCTGAGCAAGTGTCAGATACCGCTTCCACGTCTTGTGCCTGACTGTGCCTAACTGAACCGAAACCTTCGGTCTGAAGGTGACCTTTACGTGTGCCTTCTGTACGAACCCCCCACCAACGGACACGGGTGCTTCTCGCCACCCCACTCCGTGTTTAATTAAATTTAGAAGATGCACATAGATGGCGCTATCGGTCCTCCGTCCGCCAATGGCCAGGCTTTGCCGCTCGATCTCGGAAACTAATTTAAATCTTTATCGCTGTAAACAGATGCTTATTCACGTTGCATTTTCTGTATTTTCAACCAGCTGTCAGGGAAGATAGACGACTGTTTGGAAAGCATGAAAATAGTAGACGAACTGATCTCTCTGGGTTAACGGTGCGAAATAGCCTGTATCAGGGTTTCTCGAGTAAATGGAATTTATTTTATTTTTTAGATTTGTACGAACAATATACAGGGTGTCCCAAAAATGTTGTAACACATTGAATGAGGTGGTTCAGGAGGTGATTTGAAACAACTTTTTCCTTTACAAAAATGTCGGATGGGGCTTCGTTAAGGAGATATTAAGAGAAAAGTCCGGCCAATCAGAGCGCGCGTATACCGTTGGAGCGACCGCGGTAGCGAAGGCTACGAGCTAAGCGGTCGCGTCAAAGGTTCTTCGATGCACGTCGAGTCACTTGTTCGCGTACGAGCGCGGCCGCTCAGCGCGTAGCCTTCGCTACCGCGGCCGCTCCAACGGCATACGCGCGCTCTGATTGATCGACGTTTTCTGTTAATATCTCCTCAACGAAGCCTCGGACAACATTTTCGCTAAGGAAAAAGTTGTTTCAAATCACCTTCCGAACCACCTCTTTCAAGGTGTTACAACCATTTTCGGACACCCTGTATAAGTCCATGAAAGCTTCATCGACATTTGGTCGTTTGGGTTGATAAGTATAACAGAGTCAACACGTTGATGCGATTAGAAGAACTAGAGAAAAAAAAAGCTTCGTACTCAATGAAACCGTTAGAGAGGTTTGAACTAATGACTAAGGCTAAAGTAATCGTCGACGTTGGCGATTGATAAACTTTCTTTCTTTTGTATTAGTTTTCATGGTCGTATAGATTTGTCGCTAATGAATTAATTTCTTATTTTATTATGGCTAACTTTGATTTTTTAAAAAAATAACGTAGACGTATATCTCGGTGTCCGAAAATTAGGTTAATAGAAGATTCGATGAGTGGATCTACGTGCCTTTAAAAACGTACTTGAGCATACTCACCTTCTTCATTTCCTAGATTTCGTCATCGGGCATCAACGGCCCAATTCGAGATGGGAAAGTGCATGCTTCGTTTCTTGTTTCCGTTTCTATTTATAGCCACCATTTTTCTAGATCTCTGTTTGAATTTTTCTTCGATCTTACTCGATGTTTATTATGATACGATTAAGCTGACACTGATCTGTGATAATCCGGGCATTGAAACAAGCCTCTTTAACCAACTCCAAGAGTGATTAAAAGTAATTGATCCCCTGCGTCTATTCTAGATTTACTCGAATTATCGCTCGATCGCTGCGAACAGCAATCGATTCTTGATAGGTTACGAGAAAAAATCCTTGCAACATCTAACCGGGTCTGACGCAAGCTTTACTAGATAACGCCTCGAAGACTGGTGCTGCCAATGGCTCTCAACGAGCAATTAAAATAAAATTCTTACGCTTATTAAGTAGTTCTGAGTAGTTCGCGTTACTTGGTTTTACGTGAACTCGTATGACGCACGATTTCATCATTTTCACACGCAATCGCGATACCTCCCATGAAATTCGTATGGCGAAGAGAACTCAACTCTATTCGGTTGATCAAACAAAGATTTATCTATTCGTTATGAAATATTTATTTCTATAATTCATTTAGCAATTTATATTTGTCTGGTATCGAATAAAGGGCTGTTTATGTTTTTATTTTACGTCGTATGATTTAAACAAGAGGCCTGTAGATATATTTGGTAATAATAAATACTCGATAAGAATAAACTAAGTTGGAATTAAACCGTGTTTACCTACTATATTCCTCTTGATATTTTTAATTTAGTTGCCCCCTAGCAATAGGCAACTCGATACTCACGTGAGTCACAACCTCGTGTTCGTTTACAAATCGTTACACTTTATTGTAAAGTATCTTAATAAGAACTTGTTTAGAATAGGTACCAAACTAAACTTTACCTTCTCGACTTGTAATTTTGCTTGAGATTTGCTTAATACTTAGGGTGGCTGAATGCTTCTGTGACCAACTGTTAAAAAATACGTCCATGTTACATGCGGACGACACGTGATCGTATCAAGGAAATTCTTATACATTCTTATAGAGGTGAAACTCAGGCCTTTTTTAAAGTTCTAAGTACGCATGCGTCTTTTAAGAAGTATCACCGTGAACGTAGCTACTATACCTTAGCAATATCGGCATCGAAACGTGGTTAAATTAGAAATGAAATTCAAATAGAAACTCGATCCTTCCATCGTAAATTTAATTAGTTCAATTTTCTTTTTAAATTTTCCTCTACTACTTTTTCGTTCTTTAAAATAAATTCTCGCGAATTAATTTTCGAAGAATTAGATCCTTAAATGATTCGAATAAAGTAACGATTCAATCAACGATAGGATTGATTCATCGCAATTCCTACCCAGATGACAATGCTGAGGCAAGGCAACCGAGGTTATAGCGTTCTCTCAGACATTTTATCAGAATTTATTATTTCGTGTAAACGTTTATAATAATTATAATTTACAATTACGATGGTTGATGATAAATACAAATAGAACAACGTAAGTCGGGAAGAGGAAATCAGGGATGTTCTCAGCGGATGAAATAGGTTCTTTTTTTGGAAGTGGCTGTTTTTTTCGGAGGCTAGCTTTCTTCGACGAGTGGAACGAGATTTCTGGTGAAACGAGGGGCACAATAATCGGAATGAAAGACGTTTCGTCGTACGTAACTATAACCCAAGACGAATAAACATTTTGACAATCGATATATTCATTGTAAACTCTCGATACGATTGAATAAACAGACGAACGGGAGGGGGAAGGTGGCAAAGGAAGATGGCGCAGGAAGAGACCCAAAACAAGCGAATCGTAATAGGAAAGATCTTTTTACAACCTGCAAAGAATATTCGCTCGTTTTCTTATGTATTGCGTAAAACGTGCCATGATGATTCTATATATATATATATCTATATATATGTTTAAGAAATTGAAATAAATAAATAAACAAAAGGACGTAAGATTTACACATCTTTGAAAAATAGAAAGAAACGCAAGACGATAAGGTCCGAGCGCAGTGGCGTAACTAAAGATGTGCAGAGGACTTCGGGGGGTACCTAACTGTAAATATGGGAAAGGTCCGATAATCGTTTCGTCGGAAATATTTTTTACGAACATTGTAATCCAACAAATATTCATTTACAAGTTTTATTGGTTTTGAGAAACGCCTTTTATTTGTCTCTATTTTAACGCGAGATTTAGGGTTAACTTCTTTCTCTAAATGTTTATCACGTAGGCCCCAGAATTCCTAGTTACGCCACTGTCCGAGCGTCAAGTGAACCGAACTGACGTTCCATAAAAGGACATACGCGTTTTGGGGGTAGTTGGTGAACGAACGTCAACAATTTAGGAATCTGAAAAGGACAAAGTGTAGGGGAAGTCTGAACCATGAACAAGATTCCAGCGAAAGAATGGTTGAATAGTACAAATATATAGCGTTTTTGGACCTGCTGCGCGAGAACGAAATCGGTACCCTATGAAGCAATGTACAGATCGACGATCTAAGGGAACTGATTAGCACATGCGCGACGTATATCAAAGCGTACGTATCTTCGATCGCTTTGGCTCCTCCATCTGTACACAGCTCGACAGCCAGCAAACTAATGGCTCGTTTACCTCGAGCGATCACGCTTGCATAGATTTTACGACAATAACTGCTATCCGGTCCCGCTCAGCTGATCCATCTCTATAAACTGGTATCAAGGATGCTCTCTCGAAGATCTTTCTGCACCCCTTCATCGTTTCATTCTCACTTGTTTAGTCTCTCTTGCATCGGTAACATATATTGAGACGATAAATAACGTAGAAAGCGCGCGGCTCTTTTTTCAGCTTCTTGCGAATGAAATAGCTCCATCGACTTCGATAATAATTCCGCTACTACCTCTATCGAGTCCCGATGTAACCAATCACGTGGAAACCGTTCGAAAACGATCTAACGGCTGCCATTTGAAAGAAACGACTTATTCTTTATTATTCCCCGGTTACGTTCATTCGCTTATCGTTCGTTACTTCTTTCGTTTTGTTTTGTACGACAGAAAACACGGTCACATCGAAAGATACAACACGTCAGGAGAATACGTTTACCCACACACACGTTGTAATATCGATAATCGTTACTTGTTTTCCATGTAGTACACATTTACGTTGTTTTTTTTTTCTTTTTACTCATTTTTCTTAAAGTGTGTTTTGTTCTGTTAGAGGGTGGAGAGTCGGCGCGCGTATATTACACGTACTTACAAGTTAATTATGCGTGTGCCATACGAGACGAAGAATTGCGACACAGTTTTGTTTCGTTTTTTGTTGCTCTAGCGTCGATTAATAACGGGGGATGGAATGGACCGAACCAGAGGCGGACACGGTGGATGTTGCAAGGACCTGAGCCGATACTAGCGAGAAAAGAATAAAGTGTAATAAACAAAACCAAAGCGAAAACGTATTCATTTATTTATTTTGTATATCGTAAAAAAAAACGTTGACTGGTTTAACATATAGAAACAAATGGAATTCTTTCATTCGTTTGTTTTTCTTTTTTCTTTCATTTGATCGGAGAAGATTGAAATTTCTCGCCCATAGAATTTCTATTTGTAAAAACGTAAAAATGACTTTTTCTTTTTAACGCGGCCCTCAAATAATTAGAAGCAATTAGTTCGTACATATATACATATCAATCCGCCCCTGGACCGAGTGTATCCGTTGCATTCGGACGCGTCGATATATATACTTTTTTTTTTTTGTTTATTTATTTATCGTCGGATTCCATTATTATTACTTTTCTTTATTTCTCATTTGCGGAATGGCAACGGTAATAATAATGTCCCTCGTTTATCTCGAGGTTTCGCTCGAGGCGATCGGACCTCCATTTTACACGTGTCGTTTGTTCAGCCGGTTAAATATCCGACGCCTCGTGAAACCAGTAAAGAAGCTTTTTTTCGATATTTTTGCGGTGACGACTCAATGAAGTATCTCGGCTCGAGATGTTTTCTTCGAATTAAAAGAAAACTCGTGAGAAAACTTGTGTGTATCGGTCTTTTTTTCTTGTTTGTATCTTTGTCGCGATTCGAATCGAAAAAACGTTATTCTACGCGAATAGATAGTCCGGAGAAACGATTATACAATTGATGGAACTGCGGGAAACAACGAATGATATTCGAACTATCGACAATTTCCACGAGATCGATCGTGTTTATAAACTGAATATTTATATACACATACATATATATACATATATGTTTAAAGAGAACATCGGGACGATATAATTTCTTTCTTTAATACGCGTTTACACAGTATGTTCTCGGTTCGTCTTTTGCTTTCTTCCGTTGCGATAGGTAAATATCTGATGTATATATATATATATATTATTGTATATAATATATCTGTATATATATATGTATATATAACATATACTGGGAGGGGGAGGGAGGGGGAGAGAGAAGCGGCGGGTGATCAAGAGGGTGAGAGAGTAAGTCGAGAGTCGGGAGAGGCAGGGTTATAAAGAATTTCTCAAAGATCGGTCGCTCGAAAAATTAAAATAAAAAAAAAAACTAAAAAAAAAATTAGAAAGAAAAGGAAAAATGGTGTCCCCTTTCCTCTTCGATATTCATGCAACTTGCTAAACGGACGGTCGTAGCGTGTGTAGGATTTAGAAAACATAGTTTTGAAGATATACGGCGTTTCACTCACCTCGATGCACTGCAAATTAACGCATGAAAATGATAAACGGAACGCGATCTGGCAACGATTGCACGTACGAAAATCGACAATACTTTTCGAATCAGCGTGCAAGAGGCTGAATGAATGGTAATGAAGGAAAAGGGAAGCGGAACATGTCACGCCTAGAACGTAAAATTGTGTGTAATGTTTTTATGTGTGTGTTCGTGCTCGCGCACACGCGGGTGGTAGCATCTTAGATAACGGTAATACGTGCAAATATGTGGAACAAAAAAAAAAAAACAAAAATAAAGAAAGAAAAGTATCGAATGTAAAAGTAAGTCACCACCGATGTTCTTTTGGAACTTAATAACTTAATGTATTTTTACTCTCCTTTCTCCTCCTGCGTTCTTCCCTTCGTATAATAATATCGTACTTGCTAGACAATGTGAAATTTAATTTAATGACAACTGGATATAATGTAGTTAGATTCATGCGTGCTTTTTTTCCCTTTGTCTTTGTTTCTTCTCATACCTCGGTTTCGGTTTTTTCATGTTTTTCATTTTTAGCGATATTTTAGATGGTAAATAAGTGAGCAGATCTGGGGGGGGGGAGTGACAGTGTTTTTTTCGTTTTTTTCACTTTTTTTTTGTTGTTGTTGTAAATGGTTGCTCTTCGCATCCCGTGTCTCGTCCCAACGATATCAAAATTTTCCGTCTCTATGCACCCCGCAAAGACTAGCTTTCCATTTATTTTTTTTTTTTTATTCTCGCGTTTACATATACCATGCGACGTAATATTTTACTTTTTTGCGTATCATCCCGTTTTGTTTATTTAATATAGTCGCTTTAATTTATGAACCCTTTACCTATTCGACACTAACGGTGTGGTATTCAACAACGTCGTACGACGAGACAGAGTTTGCGAAACAATACTCTTCCTGTCCTTTCCTCTGTTCATCCACAATTTGCTTCTTCCTATTCTTCCGTACAAACACGAATTGGATAATACGCTCTTCTCGGAGTAAATTTCGTGCCAAAGACTGGGGGCGAAACGTCGCGCGAATTCGATCGTTTCCTATCGTCGAGGACCGTCGCACGCGCGTCCAACACGCGATTAGAAGCCAAACGTCCCAGAATTTCCCTTTTCTTAGTTTCTTTCGTTGACGTTTCTTTTTTTTTTTTCTTTCTTTCTTTCGTTCTTCTTTACTTTTACGCTTTCGGTCCCGCATCGTTGCGTTAGTTTCATCGAGAAAATATACACGCGGAATCGTTCGGTCCTCGGAGAGAGGATAACGGTCGACGACGCGGGATTTCCGCGTTCCAGCGTTCGAAACGGGCGATTAACAGCTGTAGCGGTTGCATCGGCAGCAATGTGCGGTCGGATTTGGGAGAAAGAGGGCAGTTCTCGAGGAGGAGATTAAGGAAAAGAGGACTCTGAAGGTGTGAGAGACGGTGGCCTTGCGACTTGTAGGAGGTAGAAAGGGTGCCGTAGGAAGATGGACAGAAATGTAAGGTAGCCCAGGTAGGTAGAGATAGAAAGGAGGTGGTGTGTGTGTGTAGGGGGGGGGGTGTACGTGTCTCTGTGTACGTGTATTTGTGTGTTGGCTGAGAGAGGGGTCATGGGGGAGTGAAAGGAAGGAAGGAAGAAGGAAACGAGGTACGCGAGGGACGAAAGGACAGGTGAATGGATAAATCGATCTCGGGTGGATGGATGGGTGAGCACTTCAAGGGACGGGGGGACGATAGAGAATAGGATGTTCTTATTAGGTTAGAAAGGACTTAAGTTTAGGAAGGTTAGTTGTCGCCGACCTCCTGTTGCTCGTCCTGCTCACCCTGCGTGTCACTGGTCCAAAGAGTGAGGTTGTCGCGCAAAAGTTGCATGATGAGCGTGGAATCTTTGTAGCTGTCTTCGTTAAGTGTGTCCAACTCTGCGATCGCGTCGTCAAACGCCTAGAACATTACATAAAGTTAGAACAACGAAACGTTACCTATCGCCATTAACTTAGCTCATCGAAGTTTTAATAGCAAATGTTCCTTGTTAGAAAAAATCGATCCGCAATATGAAAGTAGTTAAACAGACACACGCGTCTTCATGCTTTCTGAAAGAACATACTAGTATTTTATCGAAGATCAAGCTGAATCGATACATCAAATTTTGAAGTAATATAATTAGAAGTATCCTTGCTCAGCAATTGTCACGGTACTTAGAATCTATTACGTGCAAGATAACCAGTGGCAAAGCATGTTAACTCCGATATGAATAATTATATATTGTTTTTCCATTGGTGTTAGAAAAAAAAAAAAATATTTCCATAGTTTAGAATTCAACATACTTTGCCTTCGGGGTACATGTTAATTCAGAATGCGAGCGATGCAAAGAATAGTTATTGATACAGTGGAGACGTTATTACAATCACACTATGACATCGGTCTCCGTCTTGGATGGAGTTAGTAAGACACTCGAAAACGTCGTTTATTGGTTTAACGTGGAAACACTACACGAAAATAAAATTAAAAAAGAAAAAGGAAAAACCAAATGTTGTCGTTTTGAAAGCCCTAACCTGTTTGGCCAGGTGGCAAGCCCTAGCCGGAGAATTAATAATTTCATAGTAAAAAACGGAGAAGTTCAGAGCGAGACCGAGCCTGATGGGATGCGTGGGTTGCATCTTTGACTTTGCAATGTCAAACGCCTCTTGGTACGCCTTCTGTGAATCGTCGACTACTGCTGTAATGCAAACCAGGTGGAATCCAGGTTACAATTTCCACAAATTCAACAAAGAGGACGGACAACTCTGTTATTACACGAACATTAGGAGGAATGGATAGGAAAAAGGAACGTCCTAGCAAATTATACGTAGGAATCCGTAGGAATACGTAGGAATTCATAGGTATATCATCTCCGGCGCATCGAACGAGATCCTAAAGTGTCCACGAAAATTGTTGAAAAAACTGTTATCCCTCCACCGTTATGGCTAAACGAAATCATGTCTTTTGCTTCCACTGCACCACTACACCATCCTTGCGCATCCTCCCGCAACCGCCATAGTGACTCGCTTTCGCGAATTGTACCTGTTTGGCCAGCTGGCAGGCCTTGTCTGGTGAGTTGAGGATCTCGTAATAGAAAACGGAGAAGTTGAGGGCGAGACCTAGCCTGATGGGATGGGTAGGCTGCATCTTTGACTTGCTGATTTCGAACGCATCCTGGTATGCCTTCTGGCTGTCGTCTACCACAGCTGGATATATATATATATAAATATTTATATACACGTTACGTGTAAAATTGTTTGTATACTTGACACATTTTTCAACTATAATCTCGAATGATATATCACGATATCTCTTATAATAGAACGTGTACGAATCGTTCCACGTGAAATCGATCAGGTTCTGTACACGCTAGAGGTCAGGGATTTTTATAGAACTAAAATATATCGTAGCTCGAATTTGTTTGAAAGGAGACATAATACAGTCGGTGTAAGAAGTATTCGTACAGCAACCGATTGAAAATAAAATTCATAAGAAAAGAAGTACATAAGAGGTTAGCGTAGGAACGTTGGTTAATTATTTCTTCCAATAACATTTATTAGTAAAATACATATGCAAAATTTATTTTGAATTGGTTCCTGTACGAATAAGTTAACTGGAACGTTCGCGTGAACTAAAATATATTTCAGTTTTGTAGGAATCTTTAGTTTCTGGAGCTCGAAGGGATCGATTAGGCATCGAATGGCCAGTATTTTATACTGATTGTTTCGAATTCAAACTAAAACTCTACAGGTATCCGTAGCGTAACGAGCGCGTCGCGGCGTTTTCGAATCCATCTAAAATCTAACAATGTGCCAGGCACTTTAAGCCGCGAACATCTGCCGTTGCAGCTGTGCTTCTCCTTTCACAAGATGGTGCACAGGTATGCCCGTATATTGTGCGCACCTTTCCGTTCCAATAAAGAAGACCTTCGTGGAAATACTTTGAGACTACAGGTAACAATGTGTCCCTTCCAAAGAACACAATTGATTGCAGATGTACCTAGGATCTTTGGGTGTACATCGTTTCGCTTTGGAAAACCGGCAATGGTAAAGGGATGTTTAATGAATTATTTAAAAAAAAAGAAAAAGAAAAAAAAAGAAAGAGAGAAAAGAAAGGACGATTAATCAGAAAGGGAGGTAAGAGTTAGCACTTGATTAAACTGGAAGGTACGAACCGTTTCTTGTTTCTCCTGTGGCGACTTCTGCGAGATACCTATAGTAGTCGCCCTTCATCTTGAGGTAGAATACTTTGCTCTCGGCGTTGCTAGCCTTGGGGATCAGGTACTTATCAAGGAGTCCCTACAACAGCAACAACAGCATTGTAATTAATCGTAACGTTCATTTATAGTTTACATCTAGAATTTATTTAAAACTTCGGCAGGCGATCCCTGTACATTTACGTAACGATTCGTTCTACTTTCTAGCTACTTTGGGATTCAAATTGGAAAACGAAGCAGAGATTGAAACGATAACGAACTGAGGACTTGCGCACCGCGAATCCTGATAATTCTATGTACAGAAATAACGCCCGACACGTTTAGCATTCGTGAGGCGATTTCTGATGGGTAAAAGCACACAACTGGATACACGAACAGGCGTGTCGTTTCCTCTTCCGTTTCCCGTCTATTTCCGTATATTTGTAACACTGTCTGGCACACACGTGCCGCATATACGCTACGAGCGAACAGTGATGTCTCATCTCGAGCATTGCACTCGTGCAGACCACTCTTGAAAGAACAAGAAAACTCTGAAGAGTGTTATACGTGTCCCTGAAGCTGTTACAATGTTATTATATGTAACACCGGGTGTATGGCAACAGGTGTCCGAAACTTAAAGAGGTGCAAGTAAGAAGAAAGAGTGAGAATTACGAAATCACGAAGTTTCTTCTTTTTTAACCCTTTGCACTCGAGAGGTGACTCTCACTAGGATTCACGCAGCAAATCTACCAGCGGTAATGCTTCTTTAGGTTTAGTTTCTTTGGAACTCGAACGCATTCGTGGCAATAAAATGCCAAGAAAACATCTCCGCTGGCAGATGCAAGGAAAAAGGCCTCGAGTGCAAAGGGTTAAATATCGGTTTGTCCGGAAAGTCAATTTCGATTTTTGGTAGGTGTTACAAGTCTGAATATATCGAAGTGGTTGAAAACAAATAACATGTATACATCCCTTAAAAGGTGGAAAGGTTGTGGAACAAAATGGCACCTATGTAATTCAATAAATATTAGGTTGTCCGAAAAGTTTCTTTCGCTTTATTAATAAGTAATACATGCGCAATATTAATATTTTATGTTTTATGTTTTTCATTACTGAATCGTGCACGATTCATTTTGCTCCGTTACTATTACAACACGAATATCTATGAAATTAGATTGTCTATTTAAATAAACACGACCACATAAAATAACTGAGTGCAAGTCACGGAAGAAACTTTCGGGACAACCTAATATATATTAAAATTCAAACGTGTTTTTGAATTTTTCTTAGAAATTGGCACGAACTTTCTCGGCAATATGTAAATGTAAACATTCATTCTGGATTTTTCGGCGTATTGCCGTCGATAAAAAGAATGCATATAGGTGAGATTCAATTTGCTAGGGAGATACGGTAACGAACAAGTAATAAATCATTCTGATTGCTCGTGATCATAGCGAGCGCCAAATTAGACGTCCGAAACGTTTTGTCACGGAGGCTGGACGACGCGGAGAGATCTCGTAAGACGAGCTAGTCGAGCCGTAATTGATCCGCGTGAAATTCAAACCGGTGGATGATCTCAGTCTTCCAGCTCTTGGGATACGCGAACCCTACAAAGAAGATCGTGAGCAACGTAGTAAAGCGATACCAGCGTCGAGAGCCAGGTATTGCTCTGCGAACGGGTCTCAAAGGTTGGAACATCTCGTTTTCCATCGCATCTCGTCCCGCGATTCTCGACTCTACCATTCATCTGCAATTTCGAACTGTATGAAACCGGGAGAGAAATATTTTCGTGGTAAAGGTGAAGTTTTTTGGGGCAAATTCGTTGTCTATAGGATTTAAGGGAGAGTTAAGGGAGTGGACTCCCGTGCCTTGTATGCGCTCGTACACGGAACTGCAAGGGCTTGCGTATTGTCCTATTTTTGTCTCGACAATACAGATTTGAGACCTCTCAATAATCGTTTCCGCTAGATAAATGTTCAAACTTGTGCGCAAGCTCCTATAGGTAGTCTACTTTTGCTTTTTTCTGTCATAATTAATAATATTCAGCAGTATTTCGCGATCAAAAGAAGCAATATGGTGGTGCGACAGTGCTGTCGCGTTGTCTGAACAAACGCTGCTGAATGTTATTAATTATGACACAAAAAAGCAAAAGTAGACTCTAACCTATAGGAGCTTGCGCACAAGTTTGAACATTTATCTAGCGGAAACGGCTATTGAGAGGTCTCAAACTTGCATTATCGAGACAAAAATAGGACAATACGCAAGCCCTTGCAGTTCCGTGTACGTATACAGTGATGTGGAGCTGTGTGAGTGCGTACGAGAGCCCATACAAGGCACGGGAGTCCACATCCTTAAAATTCGCAGAAATAAAATTAATGACAAAAATGACTTAAAAGCGACGCTTTTAGAAGAGTGGTCTAACATTCTATCGAAACTTACATAAAAACTTGTCGCCTCGATACCTACCTAATCGATTACTGGCCGTAATTAAGACCAAAGGCATGCACACCAAATATTAAGTAAGATCAATATTGTTCATATTGTTTATTACTGTACTTTCCTTGATAACACTGTACGTGTGCCAATACTTCATTGACTATGGATTTTTCGTTTTCTTTACTTTACTTCCTCATAACAAATAACTGAGAACTCTCGGTAAACATACTATTTATGTGTGTCAAAAGACACTAATAAACGTAGATTAATATCGATAGATTACTTGATAGTTTACAGATATTCAAAGAAAACTGGGTGTGCCAATACTTTGTTGACCCACTGTGTCTCTCTTGTTTCTAAGGGCACCTGAGATGGAAAACTCGGACGATGAATCGATCGAGGGAACGGAATGAGTTTCTTACCAACACGTCGTAACAGATCTCGCGCAGCTCCTTCTCCACCTTTTCCCGGTATTCCTTGGCCATCTGCTGTTTGCGCTCGGAACCCTCCGTCTTCTGCTCGATGGAGGAGATTACTCGCCACGAGCTACGTCTCGCGCCAACGACATTCTTGTACGCTACCGACAGCAGATTCCTCTCCTCGTTCGACAACTCTACTCCCGTCTCGGTGACCGCCTTCATGGCGGCTGCCATGTCGTCGTACCTTTCCGCCTGCTCGGCGAGCTTCGCGCGCTGTACCAATTCCTCCTTGTCCACGGACATTGTGTCGGCTGGAAAAACCAAAATCACGAAGGAGCGTTAGACGGTTATCGAAAACGCGTTCGGGTTTCGGGAAATTTCAGAGAGATCTTGTCCGTGTAACCCTTTCACTAGTGAATGACGGAGAATGCCGTTTTAAAGAGAATGATTCTAAAGACAAGAAAAATAACTGAACAGAGTAGTAGGATTAGAATTTTTTAATTTCCAGCTAGTATAAGGTTAAGTAATTAAATGTATCTGGTAAGAGACACTGATAAGAGACACTAATCCTTTTTATGTCAAGATAAGACTGAGATAGAGTGATTACTATTACTGTAATCCCTTTCAGTACCGTATCCTGTTAACAAAAAGAAGCATTTGAAAGTTTATGTTAACCCTATGCACTCGAGAGGTGACTCTCTTTTTATGTCAAGTTAAGAATGAGATAGAGAGATTACTATTACTATAATCCCTTTCAGTACCGTATCCTGTTAACAAAAAGAAGCATTTGAAAGTTTATGTTAACCCTTTGCACTCGAGAGGTGACTCTCTTTTTATGTCAAGATAAGAATGAGATAGAGAGATTACTATTACTATAATCCCTTTCAGTACTGCATCCTGTTAACAAAAAGAAGTATTTGAAAGTTTATGTTAACCCTTTGCACTCGAGAGGCGACTCTCACAATTAGGTTCCACGCAGCAAATCTACAATATCTAATGATTCTTTAGGTTTAATTTCTATGGAGCTCGAAGTGTTGATAAAATAATTGTCGGCGAGGTAAAGGTGATCTTATTCTCAAATCTAGATAGCTTAGAATTCATGGCAGATACCAGAAAAAAAGGCCTCGAGTGCAAAGGATTAAAGCATCCATTACAAGTGCATCGAGAGTGACAGCGTGAAAGAGTAAGATCGGCGTGAAGTATATTAGGTTGTCCTAAAAGTTTCTTCCCTTTCATTAATAAGTAATGCATACACAATATTTTATGCCTAATGTTACGTTATTGAATTGCGTACGATTCATTTTCCTCCGCTGCTGTTACAACGTCAACATCTAAGAAATCAGTTGTCTATTTATATAAACACGACCACATAAAATAATTGAGTGCAACTCGCGAAAGAAACTTTTGGGACAACCTAATAGAAGAGCGTAGATCGGTCAACGTGAGCAACAAGCGATAAAACAGTCGAATAAAGGTCGATTCAGACTATACGACACGACAAAACATTAGAACACGCGTTTTAATGAAACTATTCGCACTTAACAGACAGCGACCTGAACGTACCGACAACGGGAATAGTGTGAATAGTTCCATTAAAACGCGTGTTTTAATGTTTTGTCGTGTCGTTGTCGGAACGTGACGGTCCGTGTCGTATAGTCTGAATCGACCTTAATACGTGCAAGTAAAAGCACCTTTTCCGTAACGATAAAGGTTTCGATCTAACTATTCCCAGTACCGATAATTCCGTGCATTCGCGAAGATTCTATAGAGACAATTCAGCGAGCAGTTGCGTTTGAAGAAATCCAAAACGTTCGTCAATTATAAGAGACAAAACAGGACGGAATATGACGGGAACGAGACTCGAGACGAATGACGCGGATGTTCGTTAGTGTAGCGTCGGTGTAGAAGTGGCGCGTAAGCGGCGGAGCACAATGCCCAACGCGCGGCTTCAATGTCGCAGAGTATGTACAGTGTGAGACAAAACGATAGCCCTAGCCAACATTTTTCTTCGTACAGATATACGCGAGGAGAAATACAGTGGATGTAGAAAGTATTCGTACAGCGATCAATTTCTCAAAAAGACTGTGTAAAATTGTAATTCATTAACTTGTTTTTTATAAACAACGACATTCTACATGTTCTAGGAAATCTCTAGAAGAGATAGATTGCAAAAGAAAAATTGGCCATTTATGTAAGTTGCGAAATTAACAAGAGAAAAACAATTAATCGATAGAAATATTCAAGCTCTACTGTACATGGTTCGTCATAAGAATCGTACAAATACTTATTGCTTCTACACTTTTACCCACTTTTCGCATTTTTTTGTTAATTTCACTAATTATATCAACTAGTAAATGTTGTTTGGACTATATCTATCTTAGAGATTTCCGAGAATATGTAAAATATCATTGATTAGAAAAAAGGAAGTTAAGAAACTACAATTTCACACAAGTTTTTTAGGAAATTGATCGGTGTACGAATACATTCTACACCCACTGTATATTTTCTGCGCGCTATGTATCCATCCTATGTATACATTCTATTCTACGTAAACATGCTGAAAAAATCGCTGTTACGGTGCGAACTTGGCGAAGACCATGGAATAACTTGTAAACAGATCAACCTCGAATGTAACGGTTCTACTTTCAAAAATACACGTTCCTGCGAAAGAGATTTTCGATATGTTTGTGCGAAATGACACGGTATATAGGGTGTACAAAATACTTGGGTATACAGGGTGTCCCAAAAATGTTGTAACACCTTGAAAGGGGAGATTCAGGTGGTGATTTGAAACAACTTTTTCCTTAGCGAAAATGTTGTCCGAAGCTTCGTTGAGGAGATACTAACGGAAAACATTTTCACTGAGGAAAAAGTTGTTTTAACTCTTTGGGGCACGGTGGGATTCAAAGTGTCCCACCTTTTTGATGGTAATCTAATGGTAACCGTAATGGATAGTGGGACATTCTTAATCCCGCCTCAAAATTTTGCAATAACTGCATGTGTATAGGTGTGATACCTTTATTAATAAAAATATAACAATTTTGTTAAAATTTCTGTGAAAACAAAAACTCTACTTCGAAGAAAAACATCTACGAACGTTCATGACTCGATGTATTATTACTCCAATTAATAATTAGTTGTATCCTGATGTAAATGAATTTGAAATTGTACGTTCACAAAATCACTTTTAAATTACATATGTCGTCCTAGTAAAATATAAATGATAAATAAATACTAAACGATCCACTATAAAAGCGCCTAATTAATTTCTACGCCCGATATTATAAATAACAAGTGCCCGACGACCTAGACAGTTTTCACCTGCAGTCCTCGTTCGGTGAAGCTCGATAAAAGAGTGTAATCTACGCGATGTTATCTGTACACGAACGAACCGAACCTAGATAAACGAGCAAAGTTAATTAACACCGCTCCCACCGCCGCGAGAAACGTTCAATTTCATTTCGAATTCCTTCCTCTGTTCCTAGCGTTCCGAATACAAACACGCACGCACACGGCTGCCGTGGGAACTCGGTTGGAACAGTAAAAGCGAGATTGAAAAACAAGAAAGCCATTTAGACGTGCACCGAAACGAACGTACGCGAGCACAGCAACGTTTCCGGTCAATTACCGAGCCCTGGTGCGCCACCTTGTTGCGTAGCTAACCACCTGATGCAACCATCGTCAAATAAACCCAGCGATGGGACTAACAAGGACAGTGTACCTTAACTTACATTTAATATTTTAATATTAGGTTGTCCCAAAAGTTTCTATACGTTACTGAATTGTGCACGATTCATTTTGCTCCATTATTGTTACAACATGAATATCTATGAAATTAGATTCTCTATTTATATAAACACGATCACAGAAAATAATTGAGTGCAACTCGCGAAAGAAACTTTCGAGACAACTTAATAAAACCTTTGTTGAACATTACCACAGAAATAATAAAAATGAATAAATAGCCAAATAACATTGAAAATTCAATAAAAGTTCAAGCAAATAAATGTATTTTTTTATTATGTTTCCTTTGAATTGTAATATGTTCACGAACGAATATTACCAGTGTGGGGAAAAAAGAGAAAGAAAAAAAAAACTACGAGCGGGGCTAGAACCTGTGACCCATCGACTACGGAGCTTGAACAATAATCGCTAGATCGTCGAAATCTTATTCAGAGATTTAAAAAATTAAATTTAGAAAAGATGGAATTGCGGTTGAAGTTGATAGGATGTTAGTCCCATCGCTACTCGCGACACTTTCGCCCCTGGCCATTTGTTTATCCACGGGCTACTCTCCGGAATCGATCGTTTCGGTTTCGTATGCATGCATGCATCGTCGATGGAGGCTCGATAAAGGGCACCGACGCCTCTTGCAATTATCAGCTATGGCATCGACCCAATAAACATGTCGCTTAACCCAACTCGCGTCTTCCGACCAATCTTCCTGGCAATGTCAGGTTATCGAACCCTGCTAAAACGTTTCCACGTAAACATTTTTTAAAAGAGGAGAGTTTCTGGTGTTTCGACGTCATCCCTAGGTCGCTGTACTTATAGCCAATAGATGGGGTCTGTGATCGTTTCTTTCTTCACCGATACCGATCTAGGTTTGCAGCGTCCTTTGCCTACCGCGAGGCATAGTTCACTTCCGGTCGTACTGTAGACCGGAACTGACTTGCGTTCAGTAGCCAAACGACTCTTTTTTTATTATCTTTATTTCTCTTCATTTATGTAGTTTATATACAGAATGTCCCAAAAATGTTGCAACACCTCGAAAGGGGAGGTCCAGGAGGTGAATTGAAACAACTTTTCCCTTAGCGAAAATGTTGTCCGAGGCTTCGTTGGGGAGATATTAACGGAAAACACTGACCAATCAGAGCGCGCGTATACCGTTGGAGCGGTCGCGGTAACGTATGAGCGCGGTCGCCTAGCGCGTAGCCTACCGCTCAACCGGCGTATTCGCGCTCTGATTATAGTCGGGGTTTTCGCTTAATATCTTCTCAACTAAGCCTCAGACAACATTTTCGCTGAGGAAAAAAAGTTGTTTCAAATCACCTCCTGAACCACCCCTTTCAAGGTGTTACAACATTTTTGGGACACCCTGTATAAATAAACCTGTGTTCTTCCTAACTAACCTAACCTAAACCTGTGTGTGTCTCGCCTCCTTTTCCTCAACAATTTCTTTATATAAATATATGAACTGCGCCTCAAGCTCAAGAACTACAATCTTCCGCCTTCGAATTTTTACTCTCGGAACTTGGAACGACTTTCGCAAAGCGTAGGTACTAGATCGCGTGGCGTTTTACGCCGAAGG